GCCAATTTAGGCTTTAAAAAAGCTTCTTATTCATTGGAACTACCTAAAGGTGTTATGGGCTCCTTCAAGAGCCTTCCAGCAAAGGCTGGAGGGCCCCTCAATGCAGATGTCCTGGGAAGGATTTTTGTCCTGGAGTAGGCTGGGCTAGATAATATTCTATGATTGTAAATATTCTTTACCTGGATTTGTTCTAAAAACTCACTGTCCTGAGTAGTAACAGACTGGTGATTGAAGACCATTAGGGAAACAAGGTAAAATCAGAAGACCCCAAGACAAATTCTCTACTCTGATAGATCCTAATCTCTGTGGCTTGGCAAGTCTCCCAAACAATGTAGGCCTTTGCTTCCTCATTTGTAAAAGAAGCATATTAGCATGATGGCCTCCAGCTTGAACATCTCTTGCCACTGTCCTTCCCCACTGAGTTTGTCAACTCAGATGAGTTGGGTCATCCCTGTTACTCCTTCCGGTTCTTGAGACATCATCAAATAAATTCTAGCTTCACTTTTGGAAAGGGCCTATCAAGTGGCTCCCCTATGATTTCACTTGCCGCTGCTGTTTCTTTCTTTTATAAGAAAGATGTAAGTTATTTTCTTTCTTCCCCCATTACAAACATCAAATCAAACCACATTTTCACATTGGCCACGTCCACAAAAAATTGTCTCATTCTGCACTCTGAGTTCTTCAACTCTCTATCTGGAGGCAAATAGTATGTTTCATTATTCATCATCAGAATCTTTGTTGATGTTTATGCCTGTAAGTTTAGAATGATAATATTCCATTATATTTATGTGAAATAACTTGTTTATCCATTACCAATTCATGGGTATCCTCTTAGATTTTTATATTTTGCTACCTCTAAAAGAGCTATAAATATTTTTGTACGTCCTTAGATTTTATTTTGCTTAGGACTAATTGCTCTCTAAATCTTGTTGTGCAACCCTGTCTGACTCTTTGTGACCCCACAGACCACAGCTCACCAATACTGAACATTTTCTTGGCAAAGATACTGGAGTGGTTTGCCATTTCCTTCTCCAGCTCATTTTACTGATGAGGAACTGAGGCACACAGGGTTAAGTGACTTACCCAGGGTCACATGGATAGTGAATGTCTGAGGCCAGATTTGAACTCAGGAAGATGAGTCTTCCTGAATCCAGGCCTGGCACTCTATTCACTGCACCATCTAGCTGCCCATTATATGAGATAATTTTCCCTAACCTTCCTTTCCCTCCCCCATCCCACCCTCCTTTTCCTCTTCTTTCTATTCTTTTTTTTAAGATGATCAAGACATAGCAGAACCATCCCTAGGCTTTATCTAATAGGACTCCTTCTGTTAACCCTGATAATGCTAGGGATCGAGGGGAGGGGAGAACACATGTATCATTTCCCCATATGTGAATGTAAGCAGTTTATCCTTATGTAGTCCTTTTTTATTATTCATTCATGTATACCTTTTTATGTTTTTCTTTATGTGTTTGAACTTCAAAGTTTCTCTGCATCTCTCATCAAGAGCACTTAAAAGGTCCTTAGAACAAGCACTCTCATTAAAGATCCATTTCCCCCACCCCTGGTAACATCATACTCGGCTTTGTAGGTTCTGGGAATGTACATATTCCAAATTCTCTGCTCCTTTATACTGGTGGTTGTTAAAGCTTGTGTGATCCTGACTGTGACTCTTCAGCACTTGTATTCTTTCTTTTGGGTAGTTTGCTGTATTTTTTCTTTAACCTCAAAGCTTTGGATTTTGATTGTGATATTGCTGGGAGTTTTCATTTTGGGGTAACCTGTAGATTCTTTCAGTTTCCACTTTGCCCTCTGGTTCTAAAATATCTGGACAGTTTTCTTTTTAAGATTTCTTGAAATATGATGTCTTAGCTGTGTTTTTGGTTGTGGCATTCAGATAGTCTAATGATTCTTTAGTTTTTTTCTCTTTCATCAGTTGTTTTTGTTATGAGATGCCTTATGTTTTCTTCTATTTTTTCCCTGCCTGTTGACTTTTTTTTTTTGCGTCAAAATTCATTGGCTTCTATTTGGTCCATTTGAATTTTCGGGGAGTTTGTTATTTGGGTGAGGTTTTGTATCTCTTGTGCCAAGCTGTTAACTTCTTTCCCAATTTTCTTCATAGCTCTCATTTCTTTTCCAATTTTCCTCAAGCCATTTTATTCCATTATAAAAAAAACCCAAAGCTTTTGTTTCATCTCTTCTAGGAATTCTAGTTGTGAATTTGTCTGAGGCTTTGCCTGTAGATGTTTTAGGGTCTTTCTCTTCTCCATTTGTGTCTCGAGTGTCCCTGCCACCATTGGCTCTGAGCTCCTTGTGGTGGGGGGGGCGTCTTTCTTTGTTTGCCCATTCTTTCAGCTTATCTCCTGACTCTGGACTTGATGTCAAGGCTTTGCTCTACAGCATTTCTGTTCGTTTTGTTTGTTTGTTTGTTTGTTTTGTTTTGTTTTGGCTAGGCAATGGGGTTAAGTGACTTGCCCGGGGTCACATAGCTAGTAAGTGTTATGTTTCTGAGGCCGAATTTGAACTCAGGTCCACCTGAATCCAGGGCTGGTGCTTGATCCACTGTGCCACCTAGCTGCCCCTCTACAGTACTTCTGGAGGGAACATCTGGGCTGCCTCCTGATGCTGCTTTCTTGGGGTATTGAGTGTTCTGCTTTTGTAGGATCTCAGTGACAGGTTGGAAGCTTGCAAGCCTTCGGTGCTCCCAAAATGGACTGATCAAGGGCAAAGTCTGATTGCTGCCCCCTGTTCTGAGCTCTGCAACTTTCTGACCCAGGTTTGGGTCTAAGCATGAGCAGATACAGCTGCTGGACTCCACCCTCTCAGTCAGCTGGAAAGCTCCATTGTCTTAGAGCAGCACAATTGTATGCTTCCCTTTGATCTGGAATTCCTACCCTGGTGATTCCTCTGCAGACTGGGTTAAACTTTGGAAGGGAGGCCCTGCTTTGCTCCTGGAGTTTGAGTCATGCCTTCCTGCCTGTCACAACTGCTGCTATTGCTGGCTTCCGAACTTCCTCCTTTCTTCATATGTGGCCCAGGGCTTTCCTGCCTGGGGATGCCATGCCTGTGTGCAGGTCACCTTCTTCCTTTGCCCTCAATCTTCAGCCTAGGACTGGAGAGTGGGTGACAAAGCTGCCAGTTCCTATCTGTCCTAGTTGCAAGGCCCCAGTATGGGTCTTGGGGTGGTCTGCTCTGGATCTGGAACCTCCTTCTGCCCTGGCACACAGCCTCTCTCTGGGCACTGGAGTGCTTAGAGCCAAGCATGATCCTGGGCTGACCCCACCTCATTGTCAGCAGACCTCTCTTCCTGTCTCCCTTTGCAAACTCATTGTGACTTTTTCTGGTTTTCACCATTAGGATTTAAGTTGGTGCATTTTCTAGACCTATTTGGAGAAGTTTGTGGAGCAGAGCTTACTCCACTCTATTATCTTAGCTCTGTTGTCACTGCCACTTTCCAAATAAAAAGTACCCCTCCTCATCCACAGTATGTCTATCTGTGTCATCCACTCCATTAGAATATAAACTTCTTGACCTCAGGATTGGCCTTTTAAAAAAGATTTAATTTTTTTCATTTAAAAACTTTGTACTTAAAGGTCTCTTTCTTTGATCTTCTTAGAATACAGGCCTAGCATTAGTGTCTCTGGGCAAACAGAGCTCCTGATTTTTAGGGAATAGTTCCAAATTGCTTTTCACCATAGCAGGAGAAATCCACAGCTACACCAACAGTATATCAATGGGCCTGTTTTCATGCAGTCTTGTCAACATTTGTCATGTTCCTTCTTCGTCAACTTTGTCAGTCTGAAGGGTGTAAGGTAGAACCTCAGGTTGATTTAATTCACATTTCTCTATCAGTGTTTTGGAACAAATTTTTATATAGTTATTTACATGTTGGCTTTCTTCTTTTGGAAATTCCCTGTCTATAGACATATATATATATATATATATATATATATATATATATATATATATATATCCTTCGATCAATTATTTACTGGAGGATGTCTCTTAGTCTTGTAAATTTGAATCATATCCTTTTATATCTTGGAAATGATACCTTATTGGACAAACTGACACAAACAATTTTTGCCCAGGTAACTGATTGAATGGACTGTCTGTCTTTATTTCTGTATCTATATCCCCAGTGCACCATAGCGCTTGGCACATAGTAAATAAATGCTTAATAAATTCGGTATCATTCTGTCATTCATTCATTCAAATAGCCAGTAATTAATTCTTGAGGATTGCCGCATTTCCTACCAAGCAAAGGAAAAGGTGTAACAAAGCCCTGCAGATTTAATTTATTCCCTTTGTCCCCTAGATTCTTTATGCCTCTAACTAGATATGGTTTGTCTTAAAATAAACTTTGATTTCATAAATATCTTCTTTTGAAAACATATTTTGATATAATAAAATTAATTGACATAGGCTCCAAAATAGGGCCTTACAATCATGGAGGCAGTGAATGGTTCATGGGCCAGCTGGGCCACCTTGCCAGATAGGTTAACTCACTTCATTCCACATCAATCAAACAGTCATTCACTGAGTTCTTGCAAGGCATTGTACTAGGCTTGCTGGGGCTACAAAGACAAAGATTTTAAAAATCTCTGGCCTCAAAGAGCTTACATTCAACACTCAGAGAAACAAATGAGAGCTGCACAGATAGGCAAATACAAAGTATATGAAAATTGATTCAAAAGAATTGCAAGAAGGAGAAAACAGTTATTGGGGAGGAGGGTCTCTAGCAGTATCTTGAAGGAAGCTAAAATTCCCAAGAAGTAGAGGTGAGGAAGAGTGTCTCGCAGACATCCCTTATGGGATGTTGGGAACCATCCATGCCAAGGCTTGGTGGTAAGAGACGGAATATTATGATCATGACCAAGTTGCTTTTCCTTCCTTAGTCTTAGTGTCTCTCTCTCTTAATTGATAAGGGTGTAATGACCACTAAAGTCCTATCTGCTATGAATTCTAAATAAGTAAGGTATTGTCTCTTTCTTTTTCAGCTCCTAGATGACCCAGAAGTCAAGATCAAAGTCAAGATTCAGTCTTTAATTTATCCTGCTCTTCAGGCTCTTGATATGGATTTACCATCATATCGAGAAAATGCCCATATGCCCATCCTGAAAAAATATGACATGGTTATGATGTGGAGCCTGTATTTCACCTCGGACAAGGCGCTAAGGGAAGCCATGCTCGCTAACCAACATACATCTGTGGAATCAAGCCACCTCTTCAAGTTTGTCAACTGGCGTGCCCTGCTTCCTGAGAGGTTTCAAAAAGGACATCTCTATACCAGTCCAATTCATGGACACTCTGACCTTGCAAAAAAGTACCCTGGATTTCTAGATGTCAGGGCATCCCCCCTCTTAGCTGATGATTCTAAGTTACAGGGTTTACCCTTGACCCATATCCTCACCTGTCAGTATGATGTCTTAAGAGATGATGGGCTCATGTATGTCTCCCGCCTTAGGGCTGCAGGGGTCCAGGTAGTCCATGAACATGTGGAAGATGGGTTCCATGGAATCCTGGCATTCAGTATGAATTTTAAAGCAGGCCAAAGGGAACTCAACAAGTATCTGAAGTGGCTAGAGGAGAATCTCTAGTGATAATTCAGCTGTTCCATTCCACCAAGAGCCAGTTCCTTGTGTGTGCAAGTCACGGTATCGGCTGTTGGCGGGGGGGGGCTGGGCGGGGGTGGGAGTAGGGGTTAGTAACTGGACTAAGACATGGTTCTGACTGCCTGGACAGAAAATCTCTGCACAAATAGCTGCAATAGAAACTGAAGTGAAGGGGAGAAAACATGCATTGACATATTACCAAGTCAGATGTCCTAAGTGCTTGGGAGAAGTTAAACCAGGTGAGATGGGGGTCCAGAGAATGATCAGTGAAGCTCCTGTCTCTGCCCTGAGCACCCAGCCTATGCTCCCAACTGCCTACTGCACATGGCAACCTGGATGCCCAAAGAAGAAAATATAAACAGATCCTGCCAACCTTAAACCATTGTGTGGATGTCAGTGATTATTGGTGTAGTAGTGATTTTTGTTATTACCGGCACCTCCAACCCAACAGGTCCCAAAGTGGAATCATTGTCCTCTTTTCTACATAACTTCTCTAACATGACTAGATAGAATCTGAGGTCTGGACACTTTGGTAAAGAGTAGGAGGAGAATTAGAATGGCATTGTCAACAGTCAAGCTGGGATGGGGGACAAGCAGGAGCTAGGGACGCTGAGGCAGAGAAATGTCTTCTCTAGTCTCCAAGATGTTATTGGACTAGAATGATGTCTATCTGCAACTTTCAAATATCTTTAATGTAGGGCTATAATCCTGTCTCTCAAGGGGCAGGGTTGAAGGTATCTCACATCTACCAAGCTTATTCCCTTCCCACCAAAAGCTGGTTATGCAAAAGATTATTTCCAATAGCAAATTGCAACTAGACCCATTTATACAAATAAATAGAATTCAGATTAGAATGCAGAAGAATGAATGGATTCTTTTGCTAGGGGTAGGATAGAACCTCCATGCAGCCAAGGAGGCAGGAATAGTCTTAACAAGGGAGTTTACAAGGAGAGCCTTAACTCTTTAATGTTATAAGTGCTAGAAGTCAAGGGACATGATGAAGGCTGGTTTCCCACTTATCTTTGGTTTTAAAGGCTTTTGTTAGCTATTCAAAAATTCATGCCTCCCCTATCTCTCGGCCGTCTCTCTTGAGGTGCTCTTTCAAGTTGACTCCAACAAAATGGAAGTCATTTCTTTACATACAGTGTACGGCTCAGCATTCTCTTAACCAGTTAAGGGTCATGTCCCCTTTGCATGTGCACAGCAGACGTTACCAAGGCTGTCCCTCAGCAAAAATCTGCCCAGGTTAGAGTCAAAAAAGGACTACAGATATAAATATTTTATTATACGTATATGTGCATGTGTTGTTTTTATTGATAAGACGAAAGCTCTCCAATGGCCAGGATTATTTTATTTTGTCTTTGTCTTTCCAGAACTTAGTACAGTGCCAAGGTCATATGAAAAGGAAATGGGAATTCAATGATGTGATTGTTCCCTCCAACAAAGCAGGTCAAAAATTCCCCATGTTTGAAAGTCCTGTTCACCTCTTGGGTGTGCTCCCTCCCTAATTTGCTATGGGGTTGACCCCATTGCTGGAAGCCTTCCTTGTTTTCTCCTGAAATCCAGAGGCTACAAAAGGATCGATGGGACAATCACTTGTCATGCCTTACTCTTGTCAAGTGGCGAGGCCATATGCCCTTCCTTGCATACATCTCCCTAATGACCTCTTTTACTCCTGTTCTTCAAAATTCCTTATGGTGGTCATGTTGCAGCCTGCTCATGACCACCACCAACCTCTCCATGGCTTTCTGAGGGATATTCACTTTTAATTCTTTGGAGACACTTATGTTCCACATATCACCTGCACCCCAACAGCAATGGCCAAATGCTGGAAGCATTGGAAGAATGGACCTTGACGATAGCAAAATATTAAGTACAATTACAAAGATTAGTATTGTAAACATCTATATTTTGACATCACAAGAACTTCACAATGTAAGTCAGATTCCTAGAAATTAATGCAGTGTTAGTTATGGGAACATCTATTTGATCTCCAAATTAACATTAGTCTTCAATAATTAGTTAATAAACATTTATTAAGTGCTTAATGGTATGCCAGGCAATATTCCTAACATTTACTTAACCACTGAAGCTAGGTGGCATAGTAAGTAAATAGAGAGCTGGATCTGCAGTGAGGAAGTCCTGAGTTCAAATCCAACTCCAGGGTGTACACATTCTTAATGAGGTTGACACATGCATTGCTAAAGCAACCTCAGTGTTTAGGAGACTCTGAAGCAAAGGGTGGGAGAGATGAGGTATTAGACTGACTGCCAAACTGAAGGTCTACAGAGCCATTGTGCTGACCTCATTGACGTATGCCTGTGAAAACTGGACCGTATACCAGCGCCGTGCCAGGAAGCTGAATCGCTTCCATTGGAATTGTCTTAGGAAGATTCTGGAGATCATCTGGCAGGATGAGATACCAGACGCTGAGGTGCTTTCTAGAGCTAAACTGCCAGGCATTCAAACTCTGCTTCAGGGAGTGCAATGCTAACGGGCTGGCCACATTGTTTGAATGCAAAATGTACACTTGACAAAAAGACTATTTTATGGAGAACCCACACAAGGCAAATGTGCACGTGGTGGTCAGAAGAAGTGATACAAGGACACTCTGAAGGATTGTCTTAAGAACTTTGGAATTGATTGTGTGACATGGGAGATAACTGGCACGGGATGGCCCAGCATGGTGCACTCATCAGAGAAGGTGCTGTGCTCTACGAGCAAAGCAGAATTGAAGTAGCTCAAAATAAATGTGAGCTGCACAGATTTATAGAATCCGCCCCAAAGGTTCCCTTGGGCTATTTGTGCCCGACCTGTGGTAGAACATTCTAAGCTCCAATTGGTCTGATTAGCCACAGTTGGACACACTGTAACCTGACTCTACCATAGTGATATCATTTGAGTCCTCTTTGAGAATGAAGGACACCAACCAAACAGTAGATATGAGTGTGTGTGTACATTTGTGTTTAGTTGTAGCCTTCTGTAGGGCTGGGTGGGAATGGAGGGAGAAAAAAGAAAAATAAAAATGATATATAGCAGAGAATGAGGAAATTTAGAAGGAAGCACAGAAAAGCTGAACAGCTTTGAAAAAAGGTATAGTATTTATTATGTAGGTTTTTAAAAAAGTAAACCATTTGAAATGGAAATTTATTGTTCTATATTGAATCTTCTCTCATGTTCTGCTGTGACCATGGAAATGTTTTTTTTTCTTTTCTCATTTTGTATTTAAAATTAAATTGAATAAAAACATTAAAAAATAATCAGTTACTAAGTCTTGCCAATTTTCCTTCCGTAGCGTGCCTCACATATGTCCACTTTTCTTCACCTCCATAGCCACCACCCTGGCTTAGAAACTCATCACTTCTCATCTGAGCTACTGTCCTAGCCTCCTAATTAGTTACCCTCCTTCTAGTTCCATGCCCCCTCTCCAATCCTTGCTCTACAGAGCTGACAAAATAGTCTTCCTAAGACACAAGCCTCATTGTATCATCCCATTCTTGAAAACCCTTCATTAGTTGCCTGACCTCTAGGATAAAATTTCACATCATTAGTCTGATTTTCAAGGCCTTCCACTATCTGGACTTGCCCTATCTTTCCCACACTCTGTACTTGCATTTCAAACAAACTGAATTACTTGTTGTTCCTGAACTCCCCACCACCGTGTTAACGACCCAAGCTATGTCCGGTGTGCAGAATGCACTTTTGATTTTTCTTCAGCTCTCGGCGTCCTTGTCTCCCTTTTTTGCTTAGCTTCAGAGCCAGCACCTCATCTCCCATATGTTGAAACTCTTTCCTTCTTTAAATGACTTTGTGGTTATTTCACTATAGTTAAGTTGTAACTTCCTCCCCAGGAGAACAGAGGCTCCTTGCAGGCAAAGATGTATTTTTATCTTTCTTTGTATCCCTAACACCGAGTGCGGTGGGTGCCCTGCTCCTAGTAGATTTACCATGGGTATTTGTCGAATTGAATTGAATTGAATTAAGTACAGTGTATTTCAGGGACAAGGCAAGGACCCTGTCTTCTTAAATTATTCAGTGATTTCCATTATTGATTGAAACCTGATGTGGAATGACGAGTGGATTAATTTCATTTATATGAAATCAAGGAACTATCTCATTAGCAATGAAGCTCTTGAACATTCCTCTACATACTAAGATGACAACAGAATGAGGTGACAATATCAGCACAGCGACTCTCCCTCGTGCGCCATACTTGAATAGAACACTGTGCGCCATCTCATCTGGGTTATTATTACAAGATAGTTATTATTTTAAAACTGAAAAGAATTGGCTAATGACTAATGAAGTCTTCCCTGAAAGGGATGGAAGATGTCATTTTTTTCTCTCCTGAGTTTTGTGCAAATTGAGACTGATATTTCTGTGCATGATTCCCCTAAAAATCCAGGGGACGGTTATAATATCTACTGACTAAATCATAAACTGGGAAATCACAGAGTGTTTGAGGCGGAAGGGTCCTCAGAGATCAGCTAATCCAATCCCAGGACATTATAGTTGTGGAATCTCAGGGTCAGGGAGATAAAGTGACTTCCCTAAGAGTATCTTGTTAAGAAGTAACAGAGCTGGGATCTGAATTAAATTCTGTGTTTTCTGTTACAACTAACTGTGACCTTGGGCAAGTAACTTCATATCTCTGGGCCTCACATTCTTCATCTTTTTTTTAATGAGGTAATCGGGGTTAAGCGACTTGCCCAGAGTCACACAGCTAGTAAATGTTATGTGTCTGAGGTCGGATTTGAACTCGGGTCCTCCTGACTCCAGGGCGGGAGCTCCATCCACTCTGCCACCTAGCTGCCCCTCTTCATCTTTTAAAAGAGGGAATTGGATAGCTCATCTGTAAGGTCCCGTCCAGCTCTCCATCATGATCAGTATGGCGAAGGACAAGTCACTCTGTCATTGGGAGATCCTATGGAAGAACTGGGAACGCTTACTCTGGGAAGGGGGAAGCCTTAGTGGGAACATGATCATTTTGTCCAGGTATTTGGAGGGCTTCTCCAAGAAAGAAGGACTAAACTTGTGGTGTTTGGCTCTAGAGGGAGACCCTGGGAACAATGGGTGAAAGCTATGAAGAGCTTAGTTTGGGGTTGATGTCAAGGAAAACAAACCTTCCTATTTATTGGAGAATTTAAAAATAGAATGGGCTGCCTTGAAGGCCTCCCAGCAAAGGCTGCAGGTCCACTTATTGGGGGAGGGGGAGGTGCTTGAAGGTATTTTTGTCCCCGTGCAAGTTAGGCTGGATGAAATTCTATGATTCTGTGCCCTTTCTTCCTCAGTCTGTTCTAAAGACTTACTGTCCTGATCAATGTTACATTGGTGACTGAACCTGGCAGCTAAAGATCCCCAGGAAAGAAATTTTCTCTT